CCAGTTGCTTGAGTAACTGTTTTTTGGCATAAATACAGATAGCAATACAAAACATAGTGTATATATATAGTGGGCATAAAATATATAACGTTATATATAGGCATAAAATGAAGATGAAAATCCCCTCTCTTTTTACAAATCATATCACACAGCGTAAATACTGGGTCAGGTGAGATGCAGAAGATGAAATGATGCTATAGAGAGAAGAGGATGCTGTGCGTTCACCTGTACATGCACAGATGCCCTGTATGTACATGTACACATTATATATTACGTGCAGGAAAAATTCACAGCCTTCCCTCCCTTCCCTACAATATTACATACCATAAACACTGGGTCAGACATAGAGATGGGGATAATATAGAGCAGGAGGATGTTACTTCTTCACCTGTACATGCACAGTTGCCCTGTATGTACATGGGTACATTATATTACATGCGAGGGAAAAAAGCATAGTGTCCCCTCCCTTCCCTACAATATTACACACCGTAAATACTGGGTCAGACAGGGAACTGTGAAGGAGATGGGGATAATGTAGAGCAGGAGGATGTTGTGATGTGTTCTTACCTGTACATTCACAGATGCCCTGTATGTACATGTACATGTATACATTATATATTACGTGAGAAAAAAACACAGCCTCTCCTCCCCTCCCTACAATATTACATAGCGTAAATACTGGGCCAGACATAGTGATGGGGATAATATAGAGCAGGAGGATGCTGTGTGTGTTCTCACCTGTACATGCACAGATGCTCTGTATGTTTGTACATACATTATATATTACGCGAGAGAAAAACACAGCCTCTCCTCCCTTCCCTACAATATCACACAGCCTAAATACTAGGTCAGACATGAATGTATGATGCAGAAGATGAGAATTATGTATAGAGGAGCTTGTTCACCTGTACATGCACAGATGCCCTGTATGTACATGTATACATTACATTACATGCGAGGGGAAAAAATCACAGCCTTCCCCTCCCTTTCTTACAATATTACATAGCGTAAATACTGGGTCAGACATAGAGATGGGGATAATGTAGAGCAGGAGGATGTTGTGATGTGTTCTCACCTGTGCTTTCTTCATCCGAAGCCTCGGTGATGTCCTCCGTGAGAGCGGCGTCCATGAGAGAGATCCTCGCCCCGCCCTGAGTACCAACAACACAAGAGCCGTGAGAGAGGTTTTCGTTCCCTCTCCGCTACCCGCAGCGGCCGGCCGCCATGTTTAGTTTACACCGCAGATATCCGGGGAGGGTGGAAGGGCATTCCAGGCCGCGACAGCATCACGCCGAATTCGTAATAATAATAATAATAATAATAATGATATCAGAACTGTTTAGTATTGCTGTGCGGCGGCGCTAGCTAGCTCGGGTTTTGCGAGCGGCCGTGCCGTCATTTTTTCTCGCTCCGTTCGGTTTGTTGTCGCACGTGACGTACGGCCCGCCGGCTCTGACGTCGGGCGTTGCTAAGACGGACAGAACACAGAATCAAAATGGCGGATCGAATGTCCTTGAGAGACAGAGAGAACGAGAGAGAGAGAACAGGAAAATTAACCCCTTTGCAATTAGGCAGGGATGCTGTTTAGGCCTTGGTAACAACTCTGCAAATTTTAAAACGATCACAGCGCATTCGCAACACATAAAAGGCATGATTGGTTTGCGGTGAACATAAATAATTCTTTGCGGTAATTCACATTCACCTCTTAACCTCATAAACAAATCGTCATGGTTTCCATAGTCAGGAATATACGAGGGCAGGGATGATGCTCCGACTTTTGTAACAATACTGCAAAATTCAAAATCGGGTCTTCGCAATATAACGTTACATTATATGCATGATTTGTAGTAAACATAATTCTTTGCGGTAATGCACAATAACCTCTTAACCTATACCGCCGAACGTCATAAACAAATCGTCTACGATTAGGAATAAATGGGGTCAGGGATGCTGGTCTGACTTTCGTAACAATACTGCAAAATTTAAAATCGTTCCAGCGCTTTCGCAAAGCATAACAGTGACATTTTGTGGTGTATATAATTATTTGTGGTGATCCGCAATAACCTCTTAACCTATGCCGCCGGACGTCATATACAAATCGTCATGGTTTCCACGGTTAGGAATAAATTAGGTCAGCCAGGGATGCTGTTCTGACTTTTGTAACAATTCTGTAAAGATTGCAAATAATCCCTGCGCTAATTCGCAACACAGCACGCAGGATTTGTGAAGATAATCCCTAGAGGTAATCCGCATTTTTATCCTACGCCTCCGAACGTCATAAATAAACCGTCGTGGTTTAAACAGCCAGTAATACATGAGCTCTATAGCTATTACGGTTAGCCTGGGTGCCAGACGCTGGCGTTCATAAGCGATAGATTTTTTTGGTGGGAAGAAGCCCTAATGTCCGCTACTGTATCCGCCGCCAACCCCAGGCTGCCCCAAACCCTTTGGACGAGAAGAGATAACAAGAGCCAGGGTGCCAAATCGGGGTCAGCGGGGCGTGTGGCTTCCCTGGCCGAGGGGTTATCTCTCATTCGCGGTAGGGGCTACCACCCAGGCTACTTACGCTGGGCAGTGATGCTCTCTGTGATCTTCGTAACAATTTTGTAAAACTTAAAATCGTTCCAGCCGGCTTCGCAACGTAAAATGCATGATTTGTGGTGAAGATAATCCTCAGCGGTAATCCGCATCCACCTCTTAATCTCTCCTTCATGAATAAGTCCCCATGGTTTCCACAACCGTGCATACATAAGGTCTACAGCCCTGCTCAAGTCTTTTGGTTACCGTGGATATTGTCGTATGAACCTACGTAAATATCTAGGGACGTGCAACGTGCAACATGGGAAGGTGCTGCTTTATTTTTCGATCTATGGTTTATTTGAGAGCAATTTTAGCGGGCATAAAAATTACCATCAGTGATCATTATACAGCATAGGTCGCCTAGGCATCCTATTATGGCCCAAAATGGTACGATAGGAGCAATGAAGTCAACATACCAGGCTGGTTCAAAATTTAAACAATGAATTTTGAACTTTTAATGATAGCATTGCATTGAAAGATGGAATAACTGTAGCAACTAAGATGAGAAGGACTGTTTTCAACTGTTCAGGGCAAAATATGAGCATCCTGCAGCTGATTCTGATCTTTTTTTTTCAAATAAGAAAAAAATGAAGCGGGCGAGTCCGGTAACCAAGAAATTAAATTGGTGCGGCCTATGGAGGCTATGAGCACCGTACGCTTATACCGGGCCAAGCCGCAATGTGTAAACGATACGCGGTTTTCCCATTGTGAAGTGGTTTCACAATAATCGCGTTGTGGTAATAATAATAAATCAGTGTGACGTGTTTGCTTTAATCCCAGTCAGGCTTTTCTATAGTGGCTTGCGATGTTCTGAATGGATAATGGGCTGTTTGTATTCCGTACCCACGGGAATCGCCGCGACACAGATACTGTAATATGTGCGCCTACATACTCTCCAAGCAGAGGTTGATGGTGGAAGATCGTTTGCTTTTTATATATGGCCCTTTTTTGTCGCTGCTACTACCACCACCAACCTCTGCCTGCACTCGCACAGAGAGGAGCACTTCTTTTCAAAAATTTTAAAAAGATTTTTTTACAAGCCTCCCGAAGCCTGGTAGAGGCTATCCGCATCGCGCTACAGCCGCCTCCCGAAGCCTGGTAGAGGCTATCCGCATCGCGCTGCAGCCGCTTCCCGAAGCCTGGTAGAGGCTATCCGCATCGCGCTACAACCGCCTCCCGAAGCCTGGTAGAGGCTATCCGCATCGCGCTACCACCCCGCACATCGCGTCACCTGCCCGCCTCAGATGGCGGGAGATTTTTACCCGCGCAATTCCTCTCACATCGGTTGCTAGACGACCAGGCGACCCGAACCGCGCCGGGGTTTATGCGGCTTCGGCTTCCGTCGGGTAATCAGGGCTGTGCCATTACACGCCGAGGGGAGGTCAGGATAATTTCTTCGGCAGCAGTACTATGATTGTATCCATAACCATGCCTGAATGGGTTGGGATTAGGCAAGGTCTCCACGTCTCCAGGAACATAGTCAGACTATGGCATATATTTGCCCCTAGATACTTTTCTGTATAGCTGTTCCCTTTTTACCTCGGGGCTCTCGTATCTTTTCTGATAATGATAATAATAAAAGTAATATTATGTGTATCTAGCTTATAATCTAGCTTTTTTCACATTTTGAGAGTGTAAAGGTATATTCAAAATGGCGTTGTGAACACAACACATTGAAATAAACACAACTAGTGACTTAGCTTGTTAAAGAGGTTTTAATGATAGGTCATCATACATAGTACAATGCTAACGTTGCTAACAGATTTACAAACAAATATAAGGATGTGCAAATTACATAATTCTGCTCAGACACAGACACAAACATAGCCCGGTTAGCTTTGGTCCTCTTCCAACTGTCGCTATAGAGCCACAATGAGTTTTATCTTTTTTATGAGTTATGTCGATGATGATGCAATGCCTTGCCGCAAAATGACATTGTGCTAAGCAGACAATCGCAATTCTTTCATGGATGTTACTCCAGATACAAATATTAATCATTTTGTTGCAAACGGCGCCCGGTCTAGTTGGCCTGGAAGCGTTGCATGCTGAGACTGGATTTTACTCGACAGTCCATTTCCAGCACACGCCCACACATACATGTAAAACACACACGCACGAACGCACATACACATACACACATACACACACACACACACACACACACACACACACACACACACACACACACACACACACATACATACATGTACATGCAAACACAAACACATACTGCTACTGCTATCAGCAGTCTCATAATACAACTGAGCATACAACAGGATAGCTCAGTTTCAACTTGAACAAATCAAATTTGAGCTTAAAAATTAAGTACAAAGATAATTGAAGAGTCCATTGTTCAAGTTTAAGTTTATTTTTCAAAGGAAAGACTCACACAGACCAAAAGAAGAAGGGTTGTTCTCTCAGGAAAGACACACACACGAACACACAGACACATACAGAGGAGTAGTTCTTGCTCACCTTGCGCACTTTGCTGAGGTACAGCTTGCCTCCCGACCCTCTGGTTGTGATGATGAGGTGTTGGGAGAAGAGGAAACACTGCCGGGCGGACTCCTTCTCCTTGTTACTCAGGCGGACCCGGGAGGAGGACCGGCCCCGGTCAACAGACAGCTGCACCAGGGTTCCTGCACATAAAACACATATAAAAGCATGAATATTCACCTGAGTTGGTAACTTACATTGAAGAGCAAAACTACAACTCAAGAACACAAAATCCATTCTTTATGCACACCTTAAAGCATGCGCTAACATTGATGTTCGCAAAGCTCTGTACACCACATTGGTTAGGAGCAATCTTGAATATTGTTCTAACCATTGATCTCGTAAGCTCGGATCTGGATAAGTTTGGACTATCCAGACTTGTGCCAGAGCATGGCTCTGAATAAACAACAGTTTTGAACACAAGAAGCTGTTCGTACCCATGCAGAACCGTGCCTATTTATTTCTGAGGTAGGATCAGGATCTGGATAGTCTCCGCGTATGTATCCGAGAACGTACATTTGCCCCAGGCACGGTTCTGGATACGCCTGGACTATCCAATAACCGTGCCTGGTCTGGGCCTGATTTTGGATAAAGCACGACGTTGGATACAACAACCCCTGCTTCTCCTATTGGGTCAGTTAGTCCTCACTACTTGTGAGAAATTGGGCTGGTCTCAATCATGATGTTTCTGACTCAGGGAGAAGAGTTGCTGTTACAGTTCTACTCGGTAACCCGTAACCCAGGTGAGTGGTAATGCCATTCAGGTGGTAATGCCATTCAGGTGATACCATTCAGGTGGTTAACCAACCTTGAAGTGGCCTATAGCTAATGGCCGTGTTACGTGGCGACCACTAAGTAACAAAAAAAGCTGTTCGTACCTTGTCGCACGAACGTCTGGTTGACGTCGAGCAGGATGTCGCAGCCGTCCACGATCATCCGCTCGATGGAGAGCGACTTGCGGATGTTCTCGGTCTCACTCACCTCATCCTGCATCACCTGCGGGACAGAGGTACATTGTATGGGTTACATGTCTCTTTGATTTGATTATTTATATTTCTCTCCATTGATATGCAAACTCCACTTTTAGTTATTTACTTTTAAGTTGACATACCTTTTGACTATCTACCATTATGATTTGATATCTGAACGATTATAATTATTTCTATGTTACCTTATTTCATTTGATTGTTGATGAGTTAGTTACGACTTTGTCTTGTTCACGATAAGTTTATCTATTTTTAGTTGACCTTTGTTACTAGTAGTTTATCTTAAATCTTTTGTTATAATTATAATGTCATGTAGTTTTGTTGGGGTTATCCCCCCAGGAATCTTTGAAAACCGCCAATAGGTGACATGTACTTCCTTAAATAAATAAACAAACAAACAAACAAAGTTCATGCCATCTTGGAAGTTCATCTGTGTTGGTAGAAGTCATTACTAAACGATTGCCGTTACTAAGCAATTGCCAATACAAGAAATTGGACTAACCGAAATTTTCGACAAAGACTGAAGTTGTACAGTCGAAAATTTGGGTGAGTCCAATTTCTTGTGTTAGCAATCGCAGTTCTAACTCGTTTCATAAATTTCATTCCATGTTTTACAGAACAAAAATATGATGGCTCCAATGTTTACGATTTTTGAAGCGACATGAAAAAGACGTAGTAAAAATGGAACATGTTATTTTGAAAAGGTTCTCAGGCTAATGATTGGCTCCTCGTGATCATGGGCCCTATTTTTAACTAATTCTACTGTCTATAACACTTTAGGAAGGCCCGATGGAGGCTAGTAAATTTCTATTCTGAAGGCTTTTTGAGATACTGCACCTCTTCAGCATTTTATACTGAAACACCTGAAAGTCCTTCACCTCTACCCAAGACAGCTCCACCGGCGGGCCAACCCGGGCTCCTGACAATTATTGGGCCTATTTGTGCCGAATTCTACTGTGTATAACCCATTAGAGAGCCCCAGTGGAGGCTAGCAAATTTCCATTCAGAAGGCCTGGTGAGATAAAGAACCTCCTCAACATTCTATTCTAAAGTCCTTGACCTACCCGTAACAGCTTTTACACCGGCTCATCCTGCCAATCATTGGTCCTATTTTTACCGAATTTTACTATCTATGACTTAATATCTCATCTCTGTTGGAGGCTAGTAAATTTCCATTCTTAAAGGCTCAGTGCGATAATGCACCTCTTCAACATTTCAGTCTGAAACGCGAAATCCTTGACCTACACGAGACAGCTCTTCCAGCTTGCTTACCCGGACCTTATGCCAACCGTCGACCCCATTTCTGCCGACATCTACTGTCAATAATACCTAATTCCAGGTGGAATATATTTTAAAAAATGAATTAAAAAGGCCCGGTGGAGGCTGTAGCTAACAAATACCCAGTATGCATAAGGCAGGGTGAGATATGCACCTTTCGAACATTTTATTCCTGAGTGTATCAGGAAAGTTCATCCGTGTTGGTAGTGTACATGTTTAGAGTTAAAACTTTAGATCCAACACAAGAAGTTCTCTCACCTAGAGCTTTCGGCCAGCAGTCGCTCTGGTCTTCCTCAGTAGACCCAGTGTTGACGTCACACTTCAAAGAACCCACGTAACAAGTCTCACTGGGTCAGTCTACTGAGCAAGGCCAGAGTGACTGGTCAAAAGCTCTAGGCGAGAGAACTTTTTGTGTTGGATCTAAAGTTTTAACTGTAAACTTATTCTTGACTCGTTGACCTAATCCCCAAGCAGATCCCTATCGGTGGCAAAAGACAGTATTC